GGGGCGGAGAGGAGGAGCACCTGGTCCAGAGCTGCATCCTCACAGGGTTCCGCGCTTTCGTGCACGGAGCTGTGGCTGCAAAGCGGGCTAGTGGACTCCTCCCCGCTCGATTCCGTGCCAGCCGGACTTGGAACACCTTTTGGGGGAGTCGTCATCTCTGCAGAATGGCTGGGTGTGGTTCACACATCCTCAAATTCGAGTGATTGCACTTGAACAACCAGTTCCAGGCCCTTGCATTTTGAAGTGTTTAAGTAAAATGTTCCGGTCGACTTGTGTGCATTACTCAGTCAAGCCACAGGCTGCTTGAGTCTGTGCTTTCTCCTGAAGAAGCTCCAGCACAGAATCCTGCAGAACCCTTGGGAAAGACCGGGTGGTCCCAGACTGGGCTGTGGGAGCCGTCTGGCCGCTGTGACCTCTGCTCCCGAGTCATGGGAGCACCTGTCTCGTGGCTTTTTCCCACAAGCAAGTCACAGGGTCACAGACTTCCTAGCTGCAAGAGACAGGGACCAGAGTGACTCTTTCATTTTACAGAAGAGGAAGTAGGTCTAGACTTAGAAAATCTCTAGCCAGAGGTCACACTATTGTTCACTGAAGCATGCCTAAACTCAAGCCTCTTGACGCCCAATGCTCTTTCATAATTCATTTCTTTAAAGCAGTAAGACAACAACAGACCAAATAAATAGGATAAATAGATGCCTGGGGACATCTGACCTTCAGCTATATGAGGATGGTCTTGAATCGCTTAGGTAGAATATTGTACGTGGGAACAAGATGAACATTTTCCTCTCTTATTCCTGTAAGGAGTTTTTTTCTTTTTGATTTTTTTAAAAAAGAATACAACTATGGTGGGATATTATTCAGCTATTAAAAATTGATATAATGTTTAGCAGATACAAGTAGAATACAGAATAGTATGCATGTACAATGATTTCAATAATAGAAAAATACACAGTACATACATGTGGACAGGGTTGAAAGACTCTAAGGAAAAATAGTTACTTTGCTTTAGTATTGGTAGGGAATGAATTTGCTTGAGAGTAGCTGGTAATATGGGATTTTTTAAAAACTTAATGCTTTGGCACTGTCAATACCCTTCATTCAGAGACCACCAGGATCACACTAGGAGTTGGACAAACTGGATTCTTTGGGGTAAGGGAGAATGCATGTCATGGGCAACTACGATTTAGGAAAATAACTATTACAGAATTTGGACTTTGGTTTCATGACTTACATGTAGGTCTAAGGAATCAGGGTTTGCTCTAGATAGAATGCTTTTAAAAAGTGGGGCAGGTCTATGATTGGGGAAAGAAATAACAATCATTCTATTTAGCAAAAGAAGAGATGTTTGGTATTTTGTGGATTGTACAATGCCCTTGTTTTTGTCTGTGCTTAGAGGAAGTCATGAAGTGGCATTGTTTTGTCTCATTGTTTCATGTCTCAGAATAAGCTTACTTGAGGTAGATATTCTGTGAGATTATTTATGTCCAGGAAGAGAACAGAAATAACCTGGGTGTGAGTGTCAGACCAGCTTGTAATAATATGAGGTCTACTTGTGAATCTAAGAACAGTTTCAGATGTCAGGGCTGCTCTTTTTCTTTCTCAGTAACTTCATTTTTTCTAGCAAAGGCATTTCAGTAGCTATTTTCAAAACAAGAAGAATCAACAGCCTCCCAAAGAATTTAATAGTTTCTTTCTAGAACAGTGATTGTCAAAATCTATTCTGGCCACTGGGGTCAGTTTGTGAAGCTGTTTTCACTGGTCTTCAATGAAGTGAGAAAAATAAGGGCATAAAACTCAAATTATTAATTTAGAATGTTAGCCTTTATTCTGATTTTATGGACTTCCAATTTTTGTGGTTAACATGTTCTTTTTGAAAAAAATAAAACAATGGCAGAGGTAGATGTGGGGGTGGATTTGTTTTGTTTTAACATCTCTACTTAGCAGAATAACAATTTGGACCCTTCAGTGTCAAGGCCTCATTAATTTTTTTTTTTGCTGGTCTGGAAAATCCTTGGACCTACTGACTGAAAGGACTTTTAGAAGTTCAGTGGCTTCATTCTCTGACAAGAATGAGCAGTTTTTCAGTATGAATCATTATACAGTATGCGATAGCCTCATGGTAACAAAAGATATTTCAAAAACTACTTTTGATACATATGAATAATGAGGACTGATTTTAAGTTACAAAACAAAAGTCATCTGATTTGGAACATCTCAAAGGGGTTTTATTGTTTTTATTTTGAGTCAGCGTCTCACTCTGGCTCCCATGCTAGAGTGCAGTAGCATGCTCACGGCCACTGCAACCTCGACCTGCTGGTCTCAGGCGATCCTTCCACCTAAGCCTTCCAAGTAGCTGGAACTACAGGTGTGCGCCACCATGTTCAGCTAATTTTTGATTTATTGTAGAGATGGGGTCTCACCAAATTGCTCAGGCTGGTCTCGAACCCGTGGACTTAGTCAATCCTCTCACCTCAGCCTCCCAAAGTGCTAGGATTATAGGCGGGAGCCACTGCGCCCAGCCTATTGTTTTTATTTTTGAGGCTTTTTATAATATACATACTTTAAAGTCCTCTTGAGCTATTTTTATTTTTGAGTCAAGGTCTCATTCTGTTGCTCAGGCTAGAGTGCAGTGGCACAATTATGCTTCATCGCAGCCTCGACCTCCTGGACTCAAACACTCCTTCTGTCTCAGCTGGGTAGCTGGGACTCCAAGCATGTGCCACCATGCCCAGCTAATGTTTTGATCTTTGTGTGTGTGTGTGGAGACAAGGCTGATCTTGAACTCCTGGACGCAAATAATCCTCCTGCCTTGTCCTCCTAAAGTGCTGGGACTGCAGGCATGAGCCACTGTGCCTGGCCTTTGAGTTATTCTTTATTTCTGAATTTATTAACAGCCTATTAGGAGATGATGGTTACAAAAGCAATACAAGAAGTATGGAGAGGGAGATTTGGACAACATCATTTGGGGTTCTGTAAACCCATTAAGGATTTTGGGATTTATCCTAATAACAGTGGGAGTCCATTTGGTTGTTTTAGGCAAGATAAAATTTTTACTTTAAAAAGATCTCTGGGCATAGTGGCACCTTCCTCTAGTTCCAGCTACTCAGGGGGCTGAGGCAGAAGGATTGCTTGAGTCCAGGAGTTGGAGTACAGCCTGGGCAATATAGCAAGACCCTGTCTCTAAAAGAAAAAAAAAAAAGAGAGAGAGAGAGAGATCGGCCTGGATTGGAGGCCAGCAAGGGTGGCTATGAGGAGACTAGTCCAGAGAAGACAGGATGCATTAAAGGACAATGGTGCCAGCGATGAGGGAGAGAAGTAGATGGTTCTAGAGAAAATGGAATGAGCAGAAAGAAGGACTGGATGAGGATAAGGGAGCAAGCATAACCCACACATTTCTGACGTGCTCAGGCAAATGGTGGCATCTCTGCCAGAGAACATGGGGAGGGGAAAGCATGGGGGCTGAAGACTGAGAATCAGTTTCATTCGGGTTATATTGAATTTCAGGTGGCAGAGAGATATCCAGCAGACCACTTGGGACTGGAGCTCAGAAGAGAGAAGTGAGGAGTTGTAGGCATAATGATATTATTTGAAGCCCTTGGGAGCAGATGAACTCACCTAGAATGAGGATAGAGGAAGAGAAGAAGAGAACTAGGCCAAGGCTAAGTAACTTGCACACGGATGTGTCAGATAGAGGAGAAATTGGCAAAGTTAAAGCAGCAGCCAAAACAGGAGAGTAGGGGTGATGGGAAGCTGAGGGAAGAGAGGGGAGTAGGTTAATATGATGAGTACTGTTGAGGTGTCAGGTATTCGTTCTGTCTGGCAACTGGAGGCCATTGGTCACTCTGGCCAGAGGAGTGTTGGGACAGAAAATAGATTGCAGCGGGCTGAGGAGGGATGGAAAGGAAAGGAACTGGGAGAGAGGACTCTTCTTAGTGGTAAATCTGAGCATCCTAACAGGCAGCTTCTCTGTCCCTTTCTAGGTGAGTTCATCTGCTCCAAGGGCTTCAGATAATATATCGTTATGCCTACGTCTCCCAGTATTTCTCCTCTGAACATTTATATGCTCATCTGTATTGTCCTATACCTAAGAAACATGCCTTTTCTTATTGAAGAAGTGTATTTCTGCTAAGTTGTAGGGAAGAGAACATTTTAGAAAACATCTAATTTGGAAAATAGTTGTTGATGAATTCAAGAATTGAATTAAAAATTATCTCGCTAGAGTTGTTCAACTTTTTTTTTCTGATGGATATTAAAAAAAAAAGCAAATGATTTTGAGTAGTTTTAGCTCTTTGGTGAGTGCTATCTAGCTTTAAATTGCATTTCGTTGTCTTTTTCCAAGGATTGAAGAAGACAAGTCCACAGGGGCTTTCTGAACTTTTGTATACATTAGAACAGTGGTTCCATGGAAGTTCTCCTAATTCTGCCAAACTCAAGTATTTTAAGATGCTGGACAAGTTGTGTCTTTTTTGGGGAGGAGTCAGGGTCTCACTCTGCTGGAGTGCAGTGGCATGATAATGGCTCACTGCAGCCTTGACCTCCTGGGCTCAGGTGATCCTTCTGCCTCAGCCCCCTGAGTGGCTGGGACTACAGGTGTGTGCCACCACATACAGCTTGCTTCTGATTTTTTGTAGAGACAAGATCTGGATCTTCTGGGCCCAAGTGATTCTCCTGCCTTGGCCTCCCAAAGTGCTGAGATTAAGGTGTGAGCCACCTCACCTGGCCTGACTCAGCAAGTCTTTTGAAAACATTTTCCAGAGAGTTTCAAATGCATTGAAACATTGGATTTTTACCTCTTCCCTTCTTTCCTCCATCCTTAGGAAGCAATGAGAGGGAGGGGATTGGAGGGAAGGGGAGAGAGGAGAAGAAGAAGAGAAAAAGAGAAATTGATTCTAACTTTGATTTTCTTCCCCTTTGTGAATAGGGTAGCAGAGTAAACCAAGCAGACAACATGCTATCTTTACCCATTATTTGTTTATAATCTTTATCTGTCATCAATTTAAATTTTACCTACCTTGATAAGGTTGTCTATTATTAAAACCATGTATAGTTTAATTTGGAGATAGTAAGAAACTTTAAATAACATTAAGTAAGTTCATAGTAATTCTGTTCTAGGGATACATACATTTTGAAACTGTGCTTCCCTTGTGGAATTCTCCTTTGAGGGTGAAGATACAGCTCTTTTCCCACTCTACCCCCAAAACTAACCTTTTTGTGTAAAATGTCTTTGGTGTTAACACCTGTTGAGCACCTGAAATGCTGTCATCTCATAGCTGCTACCTTTCTTAATTTCTCTCACATTTACCCTTTTTTTCTTACAGCAAGATTCTATGCTATCTATTAATTGCAGCTGTGATTATCATCATACCAACCTCAGACTCCCACATATATGGCTGCTAGGTTGCTCTTCAGCTCTTACTTCTGGGGCAGATTAAATTCTCTCCTAATAATTAACAGAGCATTTTTAACTTCCCTCACAGTTGTCTAGTACAAAATGCTTCTGTAATTTGATTTTTATTTTGGCTTTGGAACACAGGGCATGCAAGGTAATTGTCAGAAAGGGAGGGGAGTCATTACACTTCCTTATTTGCTGAGTTGATTCCAGTGACCATCAGAAATCCTGAACTAAATGCATATTATTTTTTGTTAGAAATTACATTGAGATGTTGGCTTTATTGTTATCCCTGTGGGAAGCTGTGGTAGAGCGGCAGAAGCCATGGACTCTGATTCTAAGTGGAGCTGGGTCTGGCATCCAGAACATGACCGTAAAATGAAGCCCTCAGATTCAGTACTCGTCTCAGTATTACCCACTCATAGGAAAGTAATGGTCAGAAAAACAAGAAAATTTAAAGCAGAGTCTCAGAGTGGAATTAATTACAAAATTTAATAGAAAATGAGACTGCCACCAAAGTCTCCAGGTAGCTCGTGTGTTAGCAAAGCAAGGAAAGCCATTTACTTATGGAGTTAACTAAATTGAGTTAAATTGCATTTGATTGTAGCAGCAGCAGAAATATGTCCAGAAAAATTGAAATTCTTTCATATGTCTCTGAGCGAGCAGCATCAATATTAGTTAAACGAGGCGGCAAATGGGACTGTGCACGATGGTGCACACCTGCAATCCCAGCACCTCAGGAGGCCGAGGCGGGAAGATTGCTTGAGCCTAGGAGTTTGAGACCAGCCTAGGTAACATAGAGAAACCTTGTCACTACTCAAAATAAAAATAAATTAGTTGGGCATGGTGGGATGCACCTGTCATCTCAGCTACTTGGGAAACTGAGGAACCCAGGCTTTTGGTCGAGGCTGTGATGAACAGTGAACCGTGATCATGCCAGTGCACTCCAGCCTGGGTGAAAGAGTAAGACCTGACTCAGAAACAAAAAAACAAAACAAAAAACCATGCAAATGACTTTGAGTAGTTTTTCTTGGCTTTTGAAGTTACTGATCAGTTGTTGATATTTATTAGATGTTCAATGCCAAGTTTGAAGTGACTGAAGAATTAGCCTTTCTGAATAGATGTAACAACTACAGGCAAAGATCTTTTCAAAGAAATTGCAAAATATTGGTTCAACATAGGCTGGGCTTGGTGACTCAGCCTGTAATCCCAGCACTTTGGGAGACCGAGGCCAGTGGATTGCCTGAGTTCACAGGTTCGAGACTAGCCCGGGCAACTTGGGGAAACCTCATCTCTACAATAAATAAAAAAATTAGCTGGGCGTGGTAGCACACACCTGTAGTTCTGGCTACTTGGAAGGCTGGGGCAGAAAGATTGCCCGAGCCCAGCGGGTTGACTCTGGGGTGGCTGTGAGTGTGCCACTGCACTTCGGCCTAGGAGACGGAATGAGACTCCAGCTCAAGAAATAAAAAATAAAAATAAAAATAAATAATTCAGTATAAGTTGAAGTAGAATCTGCTAAGATATGGAACAGTTGACAGTGGTAAAAATATTTGTGAGCAGAAAAAGGCTGAGACGAGCAAATCTGCCCACTTGTTAAAATATAAGATGTTTAAAGTTTATGGCTATTAATTATGGTATTTATTTTCAGATACTTTGTAGAAAATATTTGAATCTAACATGTGTTATTGAACCAGCAATGTAAACCATGAACTTCATTTGCTCTTGTGGATGTAACCATCATGTTTGTGAATTTTTGTCAGAAAACAGAAACTGAATATCTTGATGTCCCCTAAGAGAGAGCAGTTAAATAGTTTAGTAGCAGTAAAGTTTTGCACAATTTTTGAGCTCAGAGCTGAGACTGAAATTTTTCTGAACAAGAAAACAAGAACTGCCTTCAACCACTATTATTGAACATGAATGGCTTTGGAAATAAACTTTTGCTACAAACTTGATATTGTTTCTTAATGAATTAAACTCCAAATTACAAGATAAAACTGCACTTAAATGAGAAACTTCCACTGTGGTAAGATCATTTTGACAGTTAATGTTTGAGTCACTGGTAATGTTAACTTACTTTGTATATTTCTTTTTTTTTTTTTGAGTTGGAGTCTCACTCTGTCGCCCAGAGTGGAGTGCAGTGGCCGCTCCCGGCCACCGCAGCCTTGCCTGCTGGGCTCCACGATCCTTCCGCCTCAGCCTTCCGAGTAGCCGGAATTACAGGCATGCGCTACCACGCCCGGCTGATTTTTTGATTTATTGTAGAGATGAGGTCTCGCTGCCCAGGCGGGTCTCGAACCCGTGGGCTCAAGCAATCCACTCACCTCAGCCTCCCAAAGGCGCGGGATTACAGGCTGAGCCACCGAGCCCGGCTTTTTGTATACTTCTAATGCTATCAAAACTTAAAACAAGACGCACTGTCTCCATTCCTACACAAATTTGCACAGATAAGTTTTGTAAGCTCCAGCTACAGTCAGTTATGGTAGTTTTCTTTCCCATTCCTCTTTCTTATTGTGGATTTATACTTTTTAAAAACAGTTATTTTACTTTTACAGTATTGGTCTTCCAGAGGAAAGGAGATAAATATACTTGCCATGTTGAACTAGTAACAAAAGAATCATAAATCTGTGTGGACTTTTGATCATTTTATGTTAGGAGGAAATTCTGCTTTGCCACTAAACTTGAAAAACTCTCTCTAAAACAGTTTTATTCATCCTTTGTCTCTGGCAGTGACCTCAATGTTGGGGGCTGCCCTCACCTCAAGGAGTACAGAGTCTGGTATTGAAGAGAGACACAAACAAGTGATTATAATACAATGTCATAAATATGGTAATGAGGATGTGTACAATATTGTGGGAGTATAGAGGAGGGCATGACTGTTTTCATATGGGAGATAGACGAAGACTTCAAAAAAATTAGGTATTTGATGTGAGTCGTAGAAGTTAGAGCCAAAAGTTCAGCAGGTGGGGAAAGGGCATTCTAGTGAGAGAAAATAGCACATATATGGGGGGTGCGAGATCATAGGGAGTGCTTGCATGTGGCTATAAGTATCAGGGGGAGTGTCAGGAAATGTGACTGGGATGGTAAATTAAGGACAGATTACGAAGGGCCCTGTGCTGTGTGCCCTGAAAATCTGGTTTGGGAGGCAAATCCCAGAACAGGTTGCAATAGAACTGCCTCATAAATTCAGGTAATATAACATCCCATCAAGTCATTTACTGTTAGTGATAAGTCAATCTATGTAACGTAAGCATTTTCTACTTTCTTACATTTTTTCATTATTCAATATATTTGCAATTTAAGATCCAAATGACAACATCTGACACTTGTGCAAACTGAATTGAGGCTAAAAACGCACTTACTGGTTTGGGATTTTAGAAGTTTTATTGGGAGGAAAAGACTTATTTTAAGAGGTATTGAGCCGGGCTTGATGGCTCAGCCTGTAATCCCGCGCCTTTGGGAGGCTGAGGTGAGTGAATTGCCTGAGCCCGCGGGTTCGAGACCCGCCTGGGCAGTGAGACCTCATCTCTACAATAAATCAAAAAAAAAAAATCAGCTGGGTGTGGTGGCGCATGCCTGTAATTCTGGCTACTCAGAAGGCTGAGGCGGAAGGATCGCTGGAGCCCAGCAGGCCGAGGCTGCAGTGGCCGAGAGCGGCCACTGCACTCCAGTCTGGACGACAGAGTGAGACTCCAACTCAAAAAAAAAAAAAAAAAAGAGGTATTGAAATGGTCTAAAGGGACAAAAATCATACTTGATTTTGTCTCCACAGTTTGCAACTACTTTTGCACATTGCTTATTCATTTAGCAAGCATTTGTTGTTTTCTGAAACTTTTAATTTTCTTTGTTTTTTAGTGGACAGAAGACTGCAGAAAATCAACCTATCCTCCTTCAGGACCAACGTGAGTAAATATCAGATGAACAAAACTCACTTTGACCTTTGCAGAGATTTCTCTCTCATAAAATAATGACAAAAAGTAAAAACTTAGGATATGTCTTCTATCCTGAAGCTATTTTTTCCCCCTTAGGTTTGTATATTATGCATTTGGCTAAGATCTTGGACAAATATGGGAATGCCCCATGATTAAAATGTCCATTTCTAGCCTGTCAAAGTCAAAGGAAAGAAAAGGATTCCCATATTCCACTAAATTCTTCTACCTGTCTCTAAGCATTCTTTCTAATCTTCGACAAATACAAGGCCTGTATTTGATCTGACCTGTGATTCTCTGTGGTCCCTGGATATCAACCATCACAGTATATTGGAGTAAAAAAACATAGGACCTCATATGTGAAACATTCTAGAAATAAATCTTGACATGATAAAGCTATTGAGGACAGTATAGGATTGGAGCATGCAAGCGAAGGACCATTGTCACGTTTCAGTGTATTTAACATTAATATTTTTAGTCTAGATTTTGGTCTTTTCAAATCTTTAGTGGTTAAATGGGCTTATGAGAAAGATATAATGATAGCTTACAGGCCCAGAGGATACAGAACATGGAAAAGAAGGAGGAGGTATAGGGAATGGTGATCTTTTTCTCCTGCTCTTCCTTCTTGCTGAAAGTAGCCTGCTGGGGATAGGGGAAAACACAATACAACTTTACACCAGTAATACAAGATGCCCTTTTCACTTTTTATAACACTTCAAATCACATATATTGACTTCTTTTGTCTACATTATATTTTCTAAATAGCCTCTGTCCCAGATAGCATGAAACTGTAATAAAGTAAATTCTTTTGACTTACTCACCTTTATGTAGAATGAGGCAAATGTTTGGCTGGAAGTAATTTTGAGGTAATCAGTTTCAGTGTTATTCTAGAGCCAGTGCACATTCCAGCTCTTTCTTCAATGGCCTGCTCTCTGAAAGTCTTCCTTTCAGTCATCACTGGCATCATACTGGCCTTCGGTGCCTTAATGATTGCGTCTCCTGGCTGGTCTCATGCCCCAATTTAATGAGCACCTTCCATGTTTAAGGCCTTTTTTCCTCCAACCTTTTCTGTACACTTTACATGTGCCTGTGAACTGATTGCTGTGCAAACCACAAACTTTCCCCAATTGGACATTTAACTGGTACCATGTTGCCATGTGCATGTGTACGTATGTACACGTGCACGTGCATGTATATACACATATATACACCTCAACACATACACTCTTATACATATACAAATATAACGTATATGTTTGGGCAAACATGAGGAAAGAGATAACCTGTTTATCCAGCATGACCAGTCAGCAATGCTTGAGATCAAGGAACTGATAGCCAGATCACCCCTGTATCCATCTGAATCCCATCAAGCATTTCTTTTCCACTGCTCACTGGATGCTTAGCATCTGCTCTCTTATTTGTATGTGTGTGTGTTGTGTCACCTGTGCTAGTTTCCAAACCACCTGGAGAGCCAAGTAGGTTCGGGCAATATGATTGAAATCATGATAACCTGGGCACAGCAAATGCTAAGTCTCAAAAACGACTAAATGATATTTCTTGTTTGTAGTAGAGCAGAAAAATAAAGTATGATAACTACTATTGATTGAATACCATTGTTGCTAAGTATTTTTTTGTGAATTTCATGTAATCTGCATTGCTCTCATAATGTAGATACTCTTATTTCTATAGGAAACTGAGGTGCAGAAATTAAATACTGAGAAATTTTAGAAAACTGTTCAATGAGAGGGAAGTAGAATGTGGGATTATGGCTATGCTTTTTTATTTTTTATTTTTTTGAGTTAAAGTCTCACTCTGTCACCTAGGCCCACGCTCACCACCACCGCAGCCTCGATCTGCTGGGCTCAGGTGATCCTTCCATCTTAGCCTTCCAAGTAGCCAGAATTACAGGTGCGCACTTGCGCTACCATGCCTGGCTAATTTTTTGATTTATTGTAGAGATGAGGTCTTGCCAAGTTGCCCAGGCTGCTTTCGAACCCCCAGGCTCAGGCAATCCCCTCACCTCAGTCTCCCAAAGTGCTGGGATTACAGGCTGAGCCACTGTGCCTGACCATGGCTATGCTTTAGTTGTTAAAATATTTTTGTTAATCAGATTAACAGGTTCTCTCAAAAGATCCTGATTGGTAGAGGTTTTATCATAGAAAGGTTTCTCATCACCCCCACTTCCTTGTAATCCCTTACTGTAGTGAGTTTGTTGTCTCCCCATTTTCTCTCAAACCCTTGCCTATCCAAGACTCTGAACTAAAGAAGAATCAGAATTTTTGGCAGATATGGGGGCATGATTTGGGATTGGTTGCATGTGATGAGGGGAGGACATCTTGATTGGAGTTCATAGGTAGAACACATGTCTCATGACAGCGCTACCAGCATGCCTAGCTCCTGGGGGCCACTGATTTTATCTGTGCTACTAGACTTGGAAAGCCAAGTGCATGCTCGAGGGGAGAGGGGATGTTAGTGGCACCTGCCCATAATAGGGGAAACAATAATTACTTACTGAATTGTGGGACAGAAGTTTACATGTGAAATTATAGTCAGTCAGGAATGGAAATAATTTGTTGTAATGAAAAGCTTTTTTCTAGAATCTGAGTACTGGTGTTTCATATAGATGTCAGCTCCTAAGGAAATGGGGAACTTGAAAGTGTTTTGATAAGAACAAAATTCATTCATTGTGATTTTGTTTAAGTGTATGTTTAAGTGTGCTTTTCTTTTCTATCTAAATCACAACAAGTGGTGATTAAGTTTCATAAAACCTCATACATATATCGGGGCCCCAAATTCAGCAGCATTATTTACAGAACCAAGTAATTATGCATGACAATAGAAGTATAAATATAATTATAGTTCATAACTTTTAGGAGATAACCTATCCCTCTCTACAGACATAAGTCTAGATAACATTTTAATTTAAGAAATTGGTACTATTATAGCACATACCAGAATGTACTCTGTGCTTCCCTGGAGCAGATCAGTAGGTCAAATAATAGGTGTTTTTAGGTTTAAGCTGAAAAATCACTGATTGGTACACCCTAAAAGCTATTTCGGTTTGGTAACAAGTGCCAGAAAATAATCTAGTGTCGGAGATTGTTATGGAGTTCATCCACCAGAAATATGACCCAGCTCCATTGATAAGGGAGGTTGACATTTCTATATCCTCATAGTAAAAGTTGCTGCATGTAAGTTAAAGAATAGGAAGTTGGAGACTGGATATGAGAGAGCTTGGGCTTGGACTTTGTACAGAAGGATGAGAAGAGAGGAAGTATATAGTGTAGAACATTGGGATGACTGAGAGAATTGAGAACGTTCCTGAAGGCAATCAAGGAAGCTTATAAATGTTGCCACTCTGGGCTTAAGAAGTGACCTCACTGAAGCCAGCTCTAGGACAATGATTTGGCAATATTGCTAGATTGTCTGAGAGAGAATTCTGAGACTGGGAAACCACTGAAGAAGTGTCCACAGCCTAGAATAAATCTTTGAAAGTATTTATAAGAAAAAAAAAAAGGCTGGTATTTTCCCTCTGATAATCAGATCATAGCTTTTGAACCACAAGTGATTCTTTCACATATAACCAATTTGTATTACCCTTCCCTAGTGTATAATTCTGTTCCAAAGTTTCTGAGACTACCTATGATTGCAACACAGGGCAGAAGCACTGGGTGGAAAATGAGCTTTCTTTGCAAATTTTGGTCTGAGTAACCAACCTCTACATGGTTACTAAGAATATGCCTCTAATATATCTTTATAGATGTAACTGTCTAACCCCCTCAAAAAAAGCACTTTCAACATTTCAAGGTGATACCCCTCTCATTACAGCTATAGGGGGCCGGTTCCATGGTACACCGTCAATCTGGATTTACCACCCTACAAAAGATGGCAGGAGCTAATGACTCACAAGGCACCCATGGTATGCTATGAGGCTTGTCTTTTATTTCTGGCTTTACTGAATGTAATTGTATTTTTTAGAAAGCACTTCATGAAATGATCCACAAAATAGTTTTAAGATTTGACTTTTGGTACCTTTCTGTCTGCCATCTACTATAAATGATAGTAGAAGAAAATATGTCATTCTTCTGTAGCATCTTATTCTTTTTTGTAAACTTCACCTTTGCTTCTTTCCCTTTGTATCATCTAAATAATGGCTCAGCCTGTAATCCCGCGCTTTGGGAGACCGAGGTGAGTGAATTGCCTGAGCCTGCGGGTTCGAGACACCTGGGCAACTTGGCGAAACCTCATCTCTACAATACATCAAAAAATCAGCCAGGCGTGGTAGCACGTGCCTGTAAATCTGGCTACTCGGTAGGCTGAGGCGGAAGGACTGCCGGAGCCCAGCAGGCTGGGAGCGGCCACTGCACTCCAGTCTGGGTGACAGATTGAGACTCCGAATCAAAAAAAAAAAAATTGAATGTCCTTTTAAAGTAAAATTAGACTTATTGTATTAATAATTAATTGAAAATATTTTTAAATAGCACTCATTTGGATACAGATAGGTAAATTAAAAGGTCTGTATCTGTTTTAATCATAGCAAGATTAATCTTAAGTGCTGGTACTTTGCGTCTTTCATTAAGTGTTTTATTAATTTATTTTTCAGCTAAAGATTCTAGTGAATTCCCTGAAGAATGTAGTAAATGCATTTGTGCCAAGTGGAAAAGTTATAGAGATGGTGGATCAAAAATTGGTAAGAAATATTATTTTTCACAATACATTTTAAGAGCGTACACATATATATACACAAAATTCAGAAAATGCTCTGGTATTTATTTAGAGGCATAATTCAACAACCTCTTCTCAGGAGCTTGAACAAATTTGCATTTATTCTAGATTACTGTCAAAACCTCAAGGGGACTTAAATTCTGGGTAATGTTAGGGTAACAGCATGGCAGACTTTGGCAGTTGACTGCTCTTTAATGTTTTGTGAAAGTATGGACCGTTTTATGGCGCAGTGGGCAAACATATATTTCATCTGGGAGTAGGCATTTCCTGCCCTTCATGTCTACTTATATTTGTGAGTTCACTACTGAAAACTTGTTTTTCCTTAAGTATTTTGAGCAAGTATCTTAGGACATCCAGAGATTTTTCTAGATATGACCAATGACATACTCAACCCAGCCCTGTATTCTATGGGGTCTCTCAGTAGCTCTGACCCTTGAAAAACTCACTTGGGTTAAGTGCTTATTGTGGCTGTGCAATAACCAACCCATCTCATTTTCCTCCTGGTCAACCAGGAAGCCTCTCATTTCTTAGCCTTTTAAAAATTTATGTGGAACCAATAGAACAACTAGGGCCTGGGCCCTAGAACTCCCAAAGAGATCCTTATAGCCCTCTTGGGCAGATTTTAAGCACTAATGACATTTGGGGTGGATAATTTTTTGTTGTGGGGGCTGTCCTATGCATTGCAGGGTGTTTAGCAGCATCCCTGGCCTCTGGCCACTGTATGCTAGTAACACCCCCTCAGTGAGACAATCAAAAGTGTTCCTAGACATTGCCAAATCTCTGGTAGGGGTACAACTGCCCGTGGTTGAGAATCATTATCTAAAGGACACTCTGACCATATCCCCCTATGACATTTTCACATACCAAGCACCAAACCTGTTATCCTCCATGCTTATGCTCTCAGAGCCTTCTATTAAGGTTTTCCTTTATGTTCATACATATCAGACGTCCCCCAAATAAAAAATGTTACCACGAGCAAAAGAGGAAGAGGCTCCCACATGCCCTAATGCCCTCGACTCTGAATGTTAGCAAGGAGGGCAGCATTGCTGAGTGTTTAGATGCCATGCCTTGGAATCAGATGACACTGTGGGAATCAGACTACAACGAGTTGTGAGGCTGGATCTGTCACATACTAGCAGTGTGTCTTGGGGCAAGTTTCTTAACGTATGAAGCTTCAGTTTTCTCATGAGGGGAAAAATATTTACTAGTCATATATATTTCATATGGTGAATGCAAGGATTAAATGACATACTGTATGTAAAGTATAGTGACTGGATGTAATAAGTGTTTAATAAATATTCATTAAGTCACATTTTTTAAATGACTGGAGCATTCCACTTGTACAATGCTTTGAACTCCTAGGGAAAAAATAATATACTTAGGTCACATTACATATGACTACCAAGTTGGTGAAAAATAGGACTAGCGAATTTCAAACACATTATCTCAGCAAGAGGCTATAAACTTAAATTGTGATCTAGATGTTAGTGAGTAGTTACGGTTGAGAATAAAAGTTTGGTGTCCACGATTGAATTTGCTCAGTGTCTGTTGTTTGTTAAAAGACTGTAGTTAATGCAACTTAGCCCAAGATCAGCCTTTAACCATGACAAGAAATTTTGTGAACGAACAGAATAATGTAGGTTTGTTTCTGTGAGTGTGGGAGAGAAATGGTAAAAAGGGTATATGCCAGTGGTTAGAGGGTGAATTTAAGCAGAGAGATAAGGAGTACTTGTTATGTTATGATGCTCTTGTGTTGTAGATCACATTAGATCACCCAGGTAGAATTATTCTAGTTCCCGCCCTTTCTAGAGAATGGGGGAAATATAAGGCCAGAAAAAACAATCTAAGACTCACAGGTCTCTGTATAGGGGCCCAATGTTCAGTATTATGTAGAATCTTTTAGAAATGCATGATGTAAACATGCCTTACAAAATAACTCTTATCACCTATTGTGGCAGCAATATCTAGAACAAATTATATATCAAATAACTAGATCTCAAAGCATGCTGTTAAGTTGAATGATTGTTAATTTGTGTTTTTCAGCCTGAACTACTTGGCAACTTTCCTGGCCCTTTTGAAGAGGAAATGAAGGGAATTGCAGCTGTTACTGATATACCTTTAGGTAAAGTTCACTTTTGAAGCTTTAAAACAAATTAGTAAAACATTTAAAAATATTTCTGTTGACATACGATATACATATAGTAAAGGCACAGATCTTAATTATTCAGCTCAGTGAAGTTTTTAAAAATGTATACATGCATGTAATCACAGCTCAGATCAAAATATAGAAAAATCTAGAACTCCAGAATACTCACAATATTCTCTCAAGTACCCACTATTCTAACTTAGCCATAGATTAGTTTTGCCTCTTCCTAAGCTTCTTATAAATAGAACTGAACAATATGAACTGTGTGTGTGGTTTCTTGTCCTTTCATTTTAGGTAGTATTCTATTGTATGAATAGGATATCTGCGTTTTTTTCAGATTTTAGATGGGTTTTTTTTGTTTTTTTGTTTTTTTTTTTTGAGTTGGAGTCTCACTCTGTCGCCCAGACTGGAGTGCAGTGGCCGCTTCCGGCCACCGCAGCCTCGACCTGCTGGGCTCCGGCGATCCTTCCGCCTCAGCCTTCTGAGTAACCGGAATTACAGGCATGTGCTACCACACCCGGCTCATTTTTTGATGTATTGTAGAGATGAGGTCTCGCTGCCCAGGTGGGTCTTGAACCCGCGGGCTCAGGCAATTCACTCACCTCAGCCTCCCAAAGGCGCGGGATTACAGGCTGAGCCACCGAACCCGGCTAGATTTTAGATGTTAAGGATATAGCAGTTATGAACATTCTTGTACGTGTCTTTTGATGGGCATATGCTCTTATTTCTCTTGGATATCTACCTAGGAAGTGAACTATTAGGTTATAGGATAGCTGCATGTTTAAGCCTTGTAGATTCTGCCAGTTTTCCAAAGTGCAGTCAGTGTAGCATGAGAGTTTTAGTTTTCTCCACTCGATTCGCTTCCATGTGGTAGTGCTAGTCTTTATTTCAGCCACTTTGTTGAGTGTCACAGTATCCCATTTTAGTTTTAATTTGCATTTCCTTGATGACTAATGAGATTGAATGTTTATTGGCCTTTTTCTTTTTTTGTTTCTATCAGAGAAGTGCTTGCTAAGATATTTTTACCACTTTTTAATTGGTTTGAAGGAATTCTTTATCTGTTCTGGACACAAGTCCTTTGTCAGATACATGTATTCTGAATATCTTCCCCAAGTCTATGATTTACATTTTTGTTCTCTTATTAGTGTCTTTTGTTGAACAGAAATTCTTAACTTTTTGTGAAGACTAATTTCTCTTTTATAAGTAGTACTTTTTGTTTCCATTTAAGAAATCTTTGCCTATCTCAAAGTCATGAAAATATTCTTAAATATTTTCTTCTAGATGATTTATATTCACATTTACATTTAGGCCTATGATCTATCTTGAATTAATTTTTGTAGATGGTATGAGTTAGGGGTCAATGTTCAGATTTCTCATATGGTATATCCAAGTGGATAAATACCATTTACTAAAAAGACAGTCCTTCCCTCAGTAAATTATAGTAGTGTCTTTGATATATCAGGTGATTATATATATCTGTTTTTGTTTGGGGGCTTTCTATTAAGTCTCATTTACCTGCTTGTCTTTCATTATTTCAATAGTATGCTATCTCAATTGCTAAAGCTTTATAGTGAGTCTCAAAATTAGATAGTGTAATTCTTCCAACTTTATTTTTCTTTGAAATTTTTTTGGCTTTGCCTTTCTATAAAAATCTTAAAATCAGCCTGTCAGCTCTGACAAAAGAGCCTACTGATATTTTGAATTGGATTTTAATACTGAGTTTTCCAGTCCATGAATAAGATAAATATCAACATTTATTTAGGTTATTAATAATTGAGTAGTATTTTTTATTTTCAGGGAGAAGGTCTTGTATGTTATTCATTAGAATTATCCTTAGTTATTTATATTTTTCAAAGCTATTTTAAAAATTTCAGTTTTTAAAATAATAAAAAAACAAAATTTTTCAGTTTTTAAAAATTTGTGGCATTCAATGAAAGAGACTTTCCCTGCTACCCTGAAAGTTTAATTTTTAAGCAGCCAAAGCAGTAGAGTCACTATTTTAAGTAGCCGGTGGTACCTTGGTTTTATAAGAGAGAAAATTGAGAATTTGTAAAAATCGGTGGTATTTATCAACAAAAGTAGCTAGTTTCTTTGTTTGTTTTTGCTTATTTAAGAAATGATTTTAAAAGATAGTCACCATATTTGAAATATGTATGCACTGTCTTTATGAAAAGCAAGTCTAATTTCTATATTATATAAAGAACACTAACAAATCAATCCAAATATAAATATCTTGAGAAAAATGGATTAAGAAGATTAACGGATGGTTTCTAGCAAATGTTATAAATTTATAACAATTATCATAATTATAAATTTATTTTAAAAATCAGAGTAGAATTTCACCAAATCAGAAATTAAATGGAAATAAGTTAACATTGAATTGGGGTGAAAAAAACATGTTGAGCTTAACATGTTAACGTTAAATTTGACAGAGATAAAGGATGCTATACACCTTTGAATTAAATGATAGTGTCATACAATTTTGGTAAATTTTTAAAAAATATATGTCCTCAAATGAATTTTCTTGGCAGCTCTATACTAATTTTGTTAATAGTTATTGAACCTCCTTTCTCACCTTAGAAATGTTAGTCACATCCAAAAAATCTGGACAAAATACATTTTTAGCATACAACTAAAAACCAGATATATTACCATATTTTAGCTCCCCGAAGAAAACTTCAAATGAAGCATATTGATTAAAAATTTGAGGCCGGGCATGGGGGCTCAAGCCTGTAATCCCAGCACTTTGGGAGGTTGAGGCGAGAGGACTGCCTGATCCCACAGGTTCGAGACCACCCTGGGCAAGTTGGTGAGTGAGACCTCATCTCTATAATAAATAAAAAATTCAGCCAGGTATGGTAGCACATGCCTGTAGTTCCATCTAGTTGGAAGGGTGAGACGGAAGGATCGCCTGAGCCCAGCAGGTTGATGCTGGGGTGGCCATGTGTGTGCCACTGCCCTCCAGCCTTGGTGACCAGGTGAGACTCAAAAAAAATTGAACATGATGTTGTAGAACAATTCCAAGTTAGTTGCCCAGATGTTCAGCTCGCCTAATAGCTGCTTCCTTGGTGACTTATTTTATCTTGAGTCCAGAGAGAGTACAGGCTGGTGCAGGACACCGCTGCCTAGCCAGTCTTTTCAGGCACACCCCAACTGGCCAAAACACACACTCACACAGTGAAAACAGTTACATTTTTTTTCAAAAACAAAAACCAAATGTTTCTTATACTGCTATGGTTCTATATATTAACAACAAGTTTTCTTTTCTCATAGGAGAAATTATTTCTTTCAATATTTTTTATGAATTTTTTACCATTTGTACTTCAGTAATAACAGAAGACAAAGAAGGTAAGTGTGTGCTGAGGGAGCATGGGTGGTTCAAAGTACTATGTAAAAGAAAAATCTTATAAATGGAATTGAACTTTAAAAATCCAAGCTTGCTATGTAAATTCTGTGTGTCTTACATACAGCTTTTTAAATTTTGGTATGTTTTTATAAGTGCTTTGAAAACTATGCCTATTTTAATAATGTTATATATAATGCCTATTAAATTTTAACTCAGGCATGCAAAAAACTTGAAGAAGCGTTTCAGGACTAAAAACATTCTTACTTTCCTGATAGTCTACTTATACCCATCCACATGGCTTGGTAGAAGTATTCACAGAAAGTACTTCATTATCTTCATATATGTAATGACATACATGCTTTTCTTGAAGCCCCAAAAGGCATCTTGCTGTCATTTCCCAGGCAGGGCCCTTGTATCTTCCAGCCTCATTCTCCCACATTTTTCCTGGCTGGTCACACAGAGTACAAGGCACAAGATGACTTACCCTGACTTTTGACTTCTACTCTGGGTAAAACAGTCTGCCTATACCTATCCCTTGAGGTGTCCAACTGTAGGTGACAATGCTGAAAGACAAGCGTTGGGCAAGTCACATCCGTTGAGTCTCAGATGTCTGTGTCCTGGTAGAACTCTGTGACAGTGGGCCAAACAAGGACCACTGATCCTTTTCCCATATTCTGATCTTACCTGCAACCCTGTGCTCTCAGATTTTGTGGGGGGGATCTGGCAGATGTTACAGTGACAACAGTTTGATCTTGTTAAGGCTTCGGGTATCAGGATGTTTCTTAATTCTTAATAGTTATGAATATAAATTAACCAAAATTAAGTGTCCAACTTTGATTTAGAATCATTTGTACTATCTTAACTGCTAGTTTCTGTATGTCTCTTCTGCTTCCTTTCAAACAGGTCATCTACTACATGGGAGAAACATGGATTTTGGAGTATTTCTTGGGTAAGTAAAGAACACAGTATATGTCATTCTGTAAGGAGAGTAGATTTGTGTTACACTGATAAAAAGTAAGTTCCAAGTCATGCCCAAAATATGATAAGTGAAGATAAATGGATTCTTTAGTGTTGAGACAAGATGGGTACACTTCTATTTTATGTGTTGTCTTGACCTTTCTGAAAAAAATAAGAGCCTTGTAATTAGAAAACTTAATTTGAATCTGGGGTTATTTATAAGCTGTGTGATATTGGGAGAGTTGCTTAACTTCTCTGAGTCCCATTTTCATCACTTGGAAAATAGCAGATAAACCACCCATATTGTAAAGGTCTTGTTAGGACTGACCATGGTGCTTAGGTAAATAAAGCATCTCATTAATGCCTGGCTCTCATCATATTCACCATTATTATAATTGTTCTTAAATGTCACTGAAATTTGTCTTTTGTAGGTGGAATGTAAATAATAATACCTGGGTTGTAACTGAGGAACTGAAACCTTTAACAGTGAATCTGGACTTCCAAAGAAATAACAAAACTGTCTTCAAGGCTTCAAGCTTCGCTGGCTATGTGGGCATGTTAACAGGATTCAAACCAGTAAGGAATTTGTTGTTACATAATTTTGCAGGTAGCTCTGTGTTTTGCTTTAACTATATATAGAGGGTGAAATCTAGGAAAATGAGAACCTAAAAAGAACACGAAAACTCATTTCATCCCGTTGTACTTCTTGTCACTTTCATAGGTATGAGATCACATGGTAAAGAAGAGCAGAAAAAAAATGAAGGTTTCTGAGTCTGTTCTGGGATAAAGAGCATGTGGCCAGGTGTCAAGGGCTGGGAGTCTGGGATCTAGTCCTGGTTCTGCTGCTCACTTAGGCAAGCCAGGCATCAGTTCTCTGCTCTTCTGTTTCGTGTCCAAAAAGTGTAGCCAAGAATATCCCACCTTCTCACATACTAGATGTGAAAATCCTTTGAACTTTTAAAAAGGCCTTAGTTTTATCTTTGCATTCCTCATTGCCAAACCCAGGCCTTTATATTTCATTGTAAAGCATAGTAATCGGGCCTTAAAGAAGACAGTTGAAGTTCCTGACTATTGCTTTGTCTTTTTCTCAGGGACTGTTTAGTCTTACACTTAATGAACGTTTCAGTATAAATGGCGGTTATCTGGGTGAGTAGAATGTTCTCAAGTGAAAGGGGAATTTCCCAGCTGTTTTACAAGGAGACCTATAGTCTAACCTCTTCTAGATCCTGACACAATGTGTTCAATCTCTTCCAGGTGTCCTAGAATGGCTTTTGGGAAAGAAAGATGCCATGTGGATAGGGTTTATCACTAGATCAGTTCTGGAAAACAGCACAAGGTAAAGTGATTGGTTGCTTTATTAACAAATATTTATTTTAAATTACTCATGTTAAAATACAAAAATATTTCCCCAATCAGGTGAAGTGAGGTCCAATGGGAGGTTCAGAACTTCACCTGTACCCAAACCACTTATGTACACAATCCTGACTTGTACTCCATAACTTTAAAATAAAATAGAATAAAATAAAATAAAAATAAATACATAAAATAAAAATATTTCCCAAACCCCCGCTTAACATCCATTGAGGAACTGTTGCAGAATTTCTTAGGTGAATCTCTGACACTCATGTGGAATTGCTCATGTTTTCTTTGTGTGTTATATGTTTTTTATAACAAAGAAATGAATTATTTAAAAGGTACTAGGGATATTTACACTGTGAAGGGCACATATGTTTTGGTGTACAAAAAAATAATCACCCTCAGACAAAAGAAAACTTGTACAATAAAATCTTCATTTAAATGGTAGTACATTATTAACCTAGAAGTTATATTCTGCTCTGGTGTAGAAAACTTCTAATAGCAAAACTGCCTTTCCTTCAGCCTCACTGAATCCAAGTAACTTAAAATAAATAGACATCAATCCTATTTTTACTACCTTCCAGGATACTTAGTAGTGTTCTTTGATAATCTACTTCAGTTTTTTTTTTTTAATTTTATTTTAAAGATGTGGGTACAATTCAGAATTAGGTATACAAGTGGTCATTGTAAGTTATCTCTTGGGGCTCCCTTTGGTCCCCACTTTGCCTGGTTTGAGATCAGGTACCCTTATTGATGTTGTGTTTCCCTCTTCCCACTACCCCAGCAGTATCCCAGTACTACCAATCCCGTTCTTATGGTATTATGATAATTGTTCAAGGTCCACTGATAAGTGAAAACATATGGTACTCTGTTCTATTCTTTGTTTCTGTGATACATCACTGAATATGATAGACTCTAAATCCATCAAAGTTGCTGTGAAGTCCATATGTTTGTCCTTCTTTATGACTGTGTAATATTTCATTGTGCATATGTACCACATTTTTTAATCCAGTCCAGTTTCAGTGGGCAGCATGGTTGGTTCCATGTTTTTATTGTTGTGAATAGTGCTGCAATAAGCATGCATGTGGAGGTATCTTTTTTTTTGAATGATTTGAGTTCCTTCAGGTATATTCCCAGCAGGAGGATTGCTAGGTCATATGGAAGGTCAATGTCTAGTTCTTTCAGAAATCACCACACTGTTTTCCATAGAGGTTGCACTACTTTGCATTCCCACCAGCAGTGTAGAAGTGTTCCTTTTTCTCTGCATCCTCGCCAGCATCTGTTGTTATTTGTTTTATTAAAGATGGTCATTCTTACTGGAGTTAGGTGATATCTCAATGTGGTTTTGATTTGCATTTCTCTGATAATTAGTGTGGCTGAGCACTTTTTCATATGTCTGTTGGCTGCCCATATATCTTCTTTGAGAGTGTCTATTCATGTCTTTTGCCCATTTTTTAATGGGGCTGTTTGTTTTTGCCTTTCGGCATGTTTGAGCTCCTTGTAGATCCTGGATGTCAGGCCTTTGTCAGATATACAGTTGGCAGATATTTTTCCCGTTCTGTGGGCTGTCTCCCCACTCTTTTGATGGTTTCTTTTGCTTTGCACAAGCGTGTCAGTTTGATGAGGTCCCGCTTGTCTATCTTATCACTTGTGGCATGGGCACTTAGGGTTTTGATCAGGATTTGGTTGCCAGTTCCAATTTCCATAAGGGTGTCTCCTATATTTTTTAAGGCTCTTAATAGTTTGAAGTTTTACATTTAGTTCTTTGATTCATAAAAATATGGAATGTTTCATGTATTTGTGTGTCATCCTTGCTCAGGGGCCATGCTAGTCTTCTCTGTATCATTTCAGTTTTAATATATGTGCTGCCAAAGTGAGCACTACTTCAGTTTTTAATAGTCCTGATTTTCAGGAAGGTTTACTTTCTATCCCCTAAGTCCTATATACTATTATGAATATTATTAATATTATATTATTATAATATATATAATATAATAATATTATATTATATTATTACTATTATTTCCCTTTGTTCTATTGTTGAGTGAAAAGCATAGATAGCAAGGGTGGAGGAGGATCTCTTGGGGCTATTTTGTTTCTCCTTCGTATTAGAGGACCTTCTAAAATTTCACCACACAGGAGTCAGGGATTGTTCTTCTCAGAGCCATTGTTCACCATCCTTTTTTAAAAAACACATTCCTCAGATACTTGTTTTCCTTTAGTTTCCACATAACTAAACATTTCCATTCCAAGACAACTAAAAATGTTTCCTTTGTTTTTTAATGTTTCTATGTAGTTATGAAGAAGCCAAGAATATATTGACCAAGACCAAGATAATGGCCCCAGCATATTTCATTCTGGGAGGCAATCAGTCTGGGGAGGGTTGTGTGATCACACGAAACAGAAAAGAATCTTTGGACGTATATGAGTAAGTACATCTGTTAAAGCTAAATATAAGTAGAAACTAAAGCATACACTGACATATGTATAGGCTTAAGGCATGTAACCTAAGACAGAATCTCTCTTTTGGTATCTAGACTTGATCCTAAGCATGGTAGATGGTATGTGGTACAAACAAATTATGATCGTTGGAAAAATCCCTTCTTCCTTGATGATCGCAGAACACCTGCAAAGATGTGTCTAAACCACACAACCCAAGAGGTACATTTGCAATGTCATATATAGTAAGAAACTGTCGCTATTAATGATTATCTTAGTGCTGGCATTTTTCTTTGACCAGCAAAGAACCTGTAAACCTCATATTATTCAGTATTCTAGACAGTGTCCACTGAATTTTTGCTTTGTTTTAACTTAACGAGCAACATTTTCCTGTACTTTCCCCTCCTTATTCCAATACTGGATACCACTCTGAAGTGGAATAACAAACAGACAAGAATTTTAAAAGAAGAAGAAGAAAAAGTATTACATAAGAACTGTTAGCCCTGTTCCTGAAAGTGACCCCAGGGGAAATTCTGTTACAGGGATTGAGGGGAGGTTGATCAAAGTATGTCTCAGTTTCTGATGATCCATTTGTATGGATAAGGCTGCTGGTTTCTACATTTAACTTACTGAACAAAACTATTTTTTGTGTTTTAGAATGTCTCAATTGAAACCTTATATGACGTCCTGTCAACAAAACCTGTCCTCAACAAGGTATTTAAAAACAAAAATAAACAAACAAACAAAAACCTGTGTGTATGGGGGGTGGTGGTGGGTGTGCACCTTTTAGGGGAAGAATTTGACCCCATATTTTATCTTTCCCTGTTACCTAGTTCAGTTTGAGCACAGAAGTTGTGTTCAGCTTAAGGCTAATTATTATTATTTTTGAGTAGGAGTCTCAGTCTGTTGCCCAGGTTGGAGTGCAGTGGCACACTGCTCATGCCTACTGCAGCCTCGACCTGCTGGGCTCAGGTGATCCTTCTGCCTCAGCCTTCCAAGTAGCCGGAACTATAGGTATGCACCACCACACGTGGCTACTTTTTTGATTTATTGTAGAGATGAATTGCCCAGGCTGGTCTCGAACCTGTGGGCTCAGGCAGTCCTCTCACCTCGGCCTCCCAGAGTGCTGGGATTATAGGCGTGAGCCACTGCACCCGGCCGAGGCTAATTTTTAAAAATGTTTTTCAGTAGCTAAAACCATAACTTTCAGAATCACTGTGGCTTGATGTACAAATTGGTCAGAGTATTGTTTACAGCCTTACTTACATGGCATTTGAGTTACATCTAGCATTTTATTCTTGATTTCTCTTTATCAGAAATCTCATATTATCCTCTAAAACTAACACCTAAAAGTCGACAAAGCAAAATCTGAAGTCCATTTTCAAACAGAGCTCTGTGTCTTGGCAGTTTAGGGTGTCCCTTAAACTTTATTTCATCTTTTTATCTTTTCCTCACACTATAGATAAAAAAAGGAAAAAGTTTTCTCATTATCCTGTTTACTACTAGCCATTCCTTGAATGTTCTGGATATAGTCCTCTAATTATCCCATTTGTTCCTTCTCTTCTTTGTCCTTCCCCAACTCTCTCTAAAATACACATGCCTCCTTTACCCCTGCTAGAACAAATCCCTCCTGTCCTTTAGCATTTGACTCATTATGGCTCCTGCAGGAAGCCTTCCGTCAGCTCACAGATCTGCCATACTTCTTTTGCCCACACCATGTTCATGTGGGCCCACAATCTGGTGATTTACATAGTTTTTGTGACCCCTGTGTGAGTTTGGGTGCGTGCTTTGTAATCTCTGTGCCTGCACTTTCCCCCACTGTCTTAGAAATGCTTTAAGGATAAGAATAGCCAAAACTTAATTGTTTATACTCCATAGTATACTGTTACACTTTGCAGGACTCTGTTATACACCAAGGAGGGTTAAGTTAGTCTTGAAGCATTGGTGGTGAAGCAATGTACTATATACAGTCTCTTGTAAAGAAGGTTCTCTCTGAGTCATGAGCTTATCTTCTTCTATATGTTTATAATTTACAGAGTATTTTGCTCCTAACAATTGATTTTTCTTATTTATAGATAACTTCTTTAAGTGAAGTAAAACAATCATTTAGAATTTGCAGTTTCGTATTTATATTTGCTACATGAAACAATGGTTCTATTGAAGTGGTTGCCTTAATTATTTAATGATATTAATATAAGTATTATTTAATATTATATAATACAAAATACTATTAATATAAATATATAAAGTATGTAATATGTATCACTACTATATTAATATATAATTATATTTTTGTTTAATATTAAGTAACTTTATAAAGCAAATTCTGTTAGTATAGAAATCCTAATATGTCAGAACGCCTTTAAATCGAAAACATCCTTAAATTAAAAATACCTTTTTTTTTCAGCTGACTGTATTCACAACCTTGATAGATGTTACCAAAGGTCGATATGAAACTTACCTGCGGGATTGCCCAGACCCATGTATAGGTTGGTGAGCACCCATTCAGCCTACATAATGGCACTGAGAGATGAAGACGTGATCTGAATGTGGCCGATGAGTGCAGCCGTCTGATCTTTTTCCAAAGACTGAGACTTAGGGCAGGTTCTCTTTGAGTCATGAGCTTATCCCCTTCTATATGTTTATAATTTACAGAGTATTTTGCCCTAATAATTGATTTTTCTTATTTATAGATAACTTCTTTAAGTGAAGTAAAACAATCTTCTAGAATTTGCACAGTTTCATTTCACTTTGACAGATGGGGATGGGGATGGGCAATTAAACCAATGTGGGATCCACTTCTATGGAATAAATCAAGATTATCTTTGGGTGTTTAATCTAGTACATCTGTGTGAGTAATGTAAAAGTAAATAGTCCACTCTCTACTTTTATCTACATGTTTATGTTTTTCTATATAGCAGTCTTTTCCTTATAGTTCTAACTACTAAAATTAATATACCATTGTTTTTGCTGTTAGTGACAGCAATACAATTTCACTACATTTGATTGGGGGATGACACAGACATTCAACTGTATATTTCTTTCAATGGGCCGTAAATGGGCCTTTGACTCTAAATAGTACTTTTTGGGGTTCATGAAGTAATCAGTATGGAAGGCAGACTTCTATACTAAGAATTGAAGTGTTCCCTTTTTCATAATTACTCTACCTCCCAGTAACCCCAGAAAGCTGCTAACTTCAAAAACAGTCCCAGGTTGTGAATTTAAGTAAATATGTCAAAGATTTGTAAAAAAAATAGGAGGTAAACCCATTACTTTAAATTCTCATAAGTATCCATTCATTTAATAAATAGATTTTTAGTGTGTCCTTCTGATCAACATTTTTTTTAAAAAAAAACTTTTTTTAGTACAGCTATTAAAAAGTTTTTCAGAAAACAGTCTATTTATGAAAAGTGCCAATAGAACTTGTTAGCCTTTCTAACTTTCACAATGAACTGTGAAATGTATGCCACTTGTGGAAGATTATATCCACTTAAGTTTGTATAATCTGTTGTATTCACGACTCTCAATAAACAGCCACTGGAAATACTGCCAGTCAGCACTCATGCATGCTGATTGGGTGTGTACGTGAGTGTGTGTTGGTTTGAGGGTGGGGGGTTATTATCAAGAAATACAAGTTGAACATAGTATCTGAATTAAATAACAAGAGTTATGTAAGTGGTTATTAGACATATGACTAAATGGTCACAATCTTTCGTGACTAATATTTACCATATCTTAACATGATAGTATCAACCCAGTTTGCAGGTGTCCAAAGGCAGCTTTTAACCCAGATAGGAGGTGCTTCCACAAAACTATAGTGATTCCAGTGTTATTTTAGTGAAACAAGATGAATTCTAAAATTATAAGAGGGTTTATGTTAAAATAGGAGTTGGTTAATGGAAAAAAACACTTCAAATTTTATACCTCTTATAAAAAGAAGTTTTATGCATGATGATAAGTGAGATGCTAATTGTTTCAGACTGATTCCTCAGAAGTAAATCAAAGAATGTGCAGGAAATAACAGTTATTAAACTTTTAGGTCATATTGTTTAGTGGTAAAATAGTTTATAAAATAAGATATACAGGATAAGCCTATTTATGTAACACTTTATACATGTACTTATGCATATCTAAACATACATCTGGAATATAAAAAGATGACTGGGAGGATGTTAACCAAAATGTTGACTGTGGTTCCCCCTGGGCAGTGGCAAGTACTATTTTAAGTTTGAGAGGACAGAACTTAGTAGCTGTGGACATTAATGAGACTATATTTTTAGAAATACTAGTCAAAATTAATGTTCAGAGTGGATCCAAACCATAGGCTATAATTTTCCTGACTAGTTTTAGGGAATCATTTAAAATGGAAGACTGAATCATATCTATCTATATTGTTTCAAACATGTAACTCCAAGAAAACTCATTTTAATAATAGCTCCTACTTATCCAGAACTTAGTTTGTAACAAGCCTTGTGATAGATACATTCTTTATGTATTTAATCTGCTCAACAAACCCCAGTTATATTTGTAATCCTACTTGCCAATGATGAAAGTAGGATTAACTTTCTCAAAGTCACATTAACAGAAGTGGTTAGAGTCAGCATTTGAGCTGGGTCTGTCCAACTCTTGTGCTCTTACCAAAACACTTTGACATTCTTTTTTTAAAATTAAATTTAGTTAAGTTTTTATTCTGTGTTGATGTATATATTAAAAGGAATCAGATTTTCTCAAAGGAGAAAATCTCTTTCACACACACACAACACTTTAACATTCTAAACTTTATTTTTTATTTTTTATTTTTTTTGAGTTGGAGTCTCACTCTGTTGCCCAGACTGGAGTGCAGTGGCCGCTCCTGGTCACCGCAGCCTCGACCTGCTGAGCTTCGGCGATCCTTCCGCCGCCTCAGCCTTCCAAGTAGTTGGAATTACAGGTGCGTGCTACCACGCCTGGCTGATTTTTGATTTATTGTAGAGATGAGGTCTCGCCAAGTTGCCCAGGCAGGTCTCGAACCAGTTCTGTGCTTGCGCTGGAGTGTACCAGGGCACTGCACCGAATCTGGATATCACTTTGGCATTGCCTGCTATTGGTTCACTGTAAATCCTTATTGTTTCTGTAAGGATTGGAAACCCTTTGAGGTTTAGAAACTTGGTGACAACACATTTATCTAATAAGTCACTTGTCTTCACTACCCTAAGTCTAAATTGTGCTCAGCTTGTGGGAATCTGTTATAGCACCAGTCTTTTTGTGGCTATGACCCAGGACATATTAAAAATATGAACAGTTATGAAGTCTTTAAAAAATCACTGAAGGGAAAAACTCAGTCATTACTGAGGTTAGTCTCACAGAGTATAAGGGATACTTTCTGCTTATTGGCGTAAATTTACAAAATATTCACCAGCTTAGCATTTTATGTGACAAACCTGGCAAGCTTGGGGAGGTGTGGTGGGCTCCTCAACCTTAAAGTCAAATTGATAGCAGCAGTTTGTGGAGGGTTGTCAGCTCACGTGAGAATTAATTCTGCCCTAGGGGACTCCTTTTTATAGTTGAGAAAGGAGGGTTTCCCTGCCAGGTGCCACAGGGGATTCTGGTGTATGCTGGCCAATTCCCCATGGCATTTCTATACATCTAGTGGCAGCTTCTGTCCCACACTATCTTTTCAAGGATGCTTGTCTAGGCAGAAGACAGATTTGTTTCATGACTAGGATAATAAAGATCATTTGTCTCCCTGCAGGGCAAAGGTTAGACAGGCTGGGTAGCAGAGCAGCCCCTCTTATAACTTGGAGTTTCATAAGCTTAGGGCTCCTCAGGTATGATGTAAATCACACAGTGCGTGCAGCATCCACTTGAGTTGCCCATGTTACCCCCTTGGGGGATTTGGAGGACAAATGGAACTGATGTGAGCTTAAAGTTCATGCTGTCTGATATACCCAGAATAATAACACTCCTTTGCCTCTGACCCCCAGGAGTCTGCCAGCATCCATGAAGTTGGGGCAGACTAGCTGATTAGCAAGGAAGCAGACCCTTCACAATTCTTGACCATGTGATGCACCTGGGTTATAGGTATGCCTTGACATACTGCCATTAGGGCAGCTGTGCAGGGTCCTAGGCATGCAAGCCCTTGGGCCAGCTGCCTCCCACATCACCAGCCTCTGGGGCTCCTTGGTCGGCAGGCTTGAGCAGAGTAGAGTAGACTGAATCTCGCTGTGGTCTCATCAGGCCAGGGAGGAGTTGGAGCACGCAAGGCACATCTGACCAGCAGGGACCTGGGTCAACTAGGTTTTGCCTATCTCAAAAACAACATCCACAAAAGGATATCTAGTCATTCAGCCCTGACTGGCAGCCCTTCCAATTCTTTTTCTGTCTTGGCTGGTCCTCACTGGAAGCAATAACACCTGGAACTTGCTGCTCCCCTAGGAAGGTTGAGCAATACCAAGCAGGTGCTTTAGCACCTGAGCTACCACAGATCTCACCATTGTCTGCGTGAACAAGGGTGGCACAGCTGTTTATGTTCCAGGTACCATGGAGCCTAGCACATGGGCCCATTGCAGAGGTGGGTAGGAGGCGCAGAGGAAGGGTGGGCTCCTGGTATATTCAGCTCCAGGCAGCAGCCAGAGACTTCACTTCGCAAGCATCTGATACCTCTGTCCATGGTTAGTTCGCGGGCCAATTGGGAGGCATCCAAGCTAGCTGCCCATAACTGTTCTAACAAAGCAAGTGCTTTCTGGAAAGTAAGGCATCATTATTGTGAAATACTTGATATGAAAATTTTGATGGGATTCAAAACTTTTTGCTCAAGATTTTAGTATTACATTTATCAATGAAAAAAAGAATAGTCTTCAAATATAATTTCAACTTCTGTAAATTTTTGAATGGTTGAAAAATACTGCTTTAAATTTATCACCTAATTGTGCATGCAAAATTGATCCTCAATGATTTTTCAAAAATTTGATATCATAAAGTCCTGATCAATAATTGTGTATAGCAATTTCAAACAGAAAATATGCTATAAAATATGTTAAGAAAAACCTATAGTTTTAAATATTTGATGTGTAATATCTTTCCTGATACTTTCTTTTGTCCATAAATTATATAGTCATAATTATTTAATATAAAGAAAATGTAATGAATTCTTCACAAAGTGCCCACAATCCCCTCCAGTTTACCTCAGCGTCTTACAAGAACTTCCTTTTCTGTATGTGTTTGAGGCATGCACATAGGTTGGAAAGCATCAAAGTCCTGATTCCTTCATCACCAGCTGCGTGGCCAGAAACAAGTTACTTCACTCCTTGTGCCTTCATATATCCTTTGTAAAATGAAGGTTTAGCTCTAATTTTCTCTAAGGGTTTCTGTGGCTTTATAAGTCTAGATTTAAACTGTATTTCAGGTTAGCAGGAATATTCAGTAGCAGCCAACACCCCGTGTGGTTGCACACATGAGAACCATTGTAGTGTTTGCCATTCATATATGGGCAAATCCAATAAAAATTTTCATAACTAAGTATTTAAAAATGAAGATGATCTACTTGGCAGAAAGGATATGCATTCTTTGAGCAATCATGGCAATTAGCTAAGATGCTTCCAAAATGGGCTGTCATCTGCAAATGACATTATTTTTATACAAGTATAAAAATACATAGTATTTTATACAATGTATTTTATACTATGTTTTATACTATGTATTTTATATACATATATAAAACTTATACATCTATCATTTATACACACACCCAGATGGACAGTAAATATGTTTAATTTTGAAAACTAACTATCATATTACTATATACTGAACAATACTGTTGCCTTACAGACCAGATAAAAATTTATTTTTCAAATCATTCTCCATGTGGAAAATCTGCCATAACCAAAATAATCTAATCATATTGAAATATCTTTCTAGTTCCCTAAGTTCTCAATATGCTAAGAGCTAATATGAGTTTGTTTTTAGTCTTAAATGGTTGTTTAGAAAAAGATTATAGCTCTTATTTTTTAAAATGATTTAACTGATAGACAATCCAATGAGACCCAAGATTTCAAGGGCTGAGTACATTTCTTTTTTCAACTCAGCTACTTGAAACTGTAACAAATCTAATATTAAAAATAGTAGGGCTAATAAAACTTAAGTGGTTTATTAGAATCATGATGAAAGCAACTGTCATTTGGTGTAACACTTAGCATAAAATATTTAAAGTGAAATTTAAAAATTACTATTTGCAGATTTGCCAAGGTAGTTATAAAATACAAGTGTTACATTTTTCTGAAACAATTATTTATAATTTTATTTTTGGCAGTTCCATTAGTTTTTCTACAGAACAAATTTTTTTCGTTTTCCTTCTTGTTAAAATGACTTTAAAACTCTTAGAGCACTGTGGACAGTAATATCCTGTAGTATTCATCATAACTCAAGCACCTGAAAGCTTGGAAATTATGAGTTTTTAATCAAGTGATGTTAATGACAAATGTATTTAGAAGGAATATTTTATCTTTTCATGTTTTGCTTTAGATACTGCTACACACTTTACTGGTAATTTTTAAATTTTATTAAGGTTATGTGGCCCATATATAGCAAAATAAAGG